ATAAATAAATAAATAAATAAATCCTTCAGCTACATTTCAAAAACGACATGACAGTGAACTACTGTTGAAAATGTAATGGCAACAGAAAAGCAAAAGCAGGCTGTCACAGTCGTGAAGCAAGACAATAGCCTGGAAACACCTGGCCTGCGCAGTCCACAAAGCAGAATACCGACCCGAGGATTAACACCACACACGCATGATGCATACCCGCACCCCCCAATCTGAAAACTGAGGCCTAGGCTTAAGTCAGCCAGTGATTAAAAATATCCTATTTCAGTAAAAGCATCATTATCTAACAGCAACAAAATCCTATAGAGGGAACATGCTTCAGCAGCCTATAAAAAAATTCATAGAATGGTTGGGTTGGAAGGGACATTAAAGATCATATAGCCCTGTGAGGGTATGAGGCAACGCTGGTAGGAAGGAGAAATATCTTTCTTATACTACGTGACAGTTGGAAAAACCAGACAAGCTTTCAGGCTGGCACATTTGTCGGGTAACCATGGCATTTAAAAAAAATTACTTAATATCTCCAAAAACCAATGCACTAGCTTGCTTAAATCAGCATTTCAATTCTGAAGGAAAAAGGTGGATAATCTCAGGCCAGTAAATGCTCTGGTCTGCTCCGACAGTGTGGATCTACACTAGGAGAATCAGAATTTGTAACTACTCTAACTAAGCATGACCTGCTAATGGCTTTCTATTGCCACCTGGCAGGACATACTCATTTTACCTTCAATCTGAATTATAAACCAAGACAACAAACAAACACGTCATTATGTTCAAGGGTCAGAGACGCTTTGAGTTCCGAGAGGGAAAAATCAATATTCTAACTACCAAAGTAACAGAATAGGGCAACTGTGATAAATACCACTATCACGAGGAAAGCACAAAAATCTCAGCCCAACACTAGGCACAGAGCTAACACAGGTTTAACCAAACTGTGTAAATCAAAATAAGTAAAAGCACAATACACAACAGTACCAACCTTAAATAACTAGGTGGGTTTCTGGACTTTAAGGCACCAGTTTCACAATTTTTAGTTTAAATAATAACTGTATTCTTCAATTCTTTTTTAGCTACTGCAATTTAAGTCTACTCTGATTTTGTCTGGATAAAAAAAAAAAATCACTGCAGACACAAGTATAATAGTACAGAATGCTACAATCATGCGGTAATCTACTACCTTCTGCACCCCGTTCAAAACAACACAAAAATAAAGACTCTCCAGTAAGTGCAACTCTCCTCAGTTGCACTTAGTAACTAATCAAAGGTCTTAAAACTCATAAAAACCTTCAAGTTTGCTTTGCACCAGATTGCTGTTCACATGCATCTATATTTAAAAGAAGGAAAAGAGCTTTTAGTTGAAACATATTGGAGGTTTTTCTTCTGAAAAAAGTAAATTAACTGGGAAAAAAATTAAAAGAAAGAAGAATTTATCACTGCAATTCACCAAGAAGCAAAGCATTTATAATCCTGGGAGCAGCATGTAAGTACTCTCCAACAGAAATACTGGCTACTTGTTTGAAATCCAGCTGTTATCCAGACATATTAAATATGAGTAGGGGGTTCATAATATACTAATTACAACTTCCTCCTACCTGTCTGACACAACAATTTCTTGAAGGAGAATTTCAACCATGATAGCTATTTTGGGAAATATGCAACTAGATCTAAAATTTACTGGTTAATGCTTGGAATATAGAACCCCTCTTTCCCTTCTGCCTCACTGCTTATGCCATCCTCCCCTGCTTCAGGGGTGGATGAGGTTTGGTTCAGGGCTCCATTCATCCATTTTCTTTGTTTTTACAGGCAAGGTTTCCCAACATAGGGAAGAATGCAGACAAGCACGTGCTATGTCTGACTTCATAAAATTTTCCATTCTCTCAAGTTTTTAAATCAAGTCAAGGCAGCATCGTTATAATTTTCACCTATCAGTTACACCATGTTTTAATCTCAAAGTACTGCAACATTACCGCATTGATAAGACTGGGCATTAAACAGTCCAGCTTGTTTCACAGTCTCAGCATGCAGATCTGGTTATTCAGAGCAAGAATAAAAATTATCAGATTGGTTAGAAACATGTTTTTTTCGGTTTGGGGTTGTTTGTTTTTTTTTTTTGTCCTTTATTCATCGTTCAACTAAGAACTGATTTCTCTGGCAATATTATCACAGTGCCTACTGATTGAGTACAGCTGAATTTTAACAGGAAGGAGTATATAGTACATCAACCTCTACCATTAGAAACACAAAAAACTTCTAGGTTAATACTTTTTTCCCCTAGAACTACAAGACATTCTTACAGACGCAAAACACTAATACGCATCTCAAACCGAACACTGCTAGCACTGGACTGCAATAAAAACTATTCGTGAATTAATATAAAGCAGCTAAAAAAAAAACAACCAGAGTTTCATTAAAGTTCACTTGGTTTGGTATCGTAAACTTTGGTAGGGGAGACCCAGCTCCCAAAACTATGAGCTTTTGGAGAAGTTTAACACTACAAAACCACAATGCATTTGACAGATGCTAGGTTCACTGGAGATGAACATTAAAGACAGACAACTACGATAAGAAGCAGTACGCCATACGGAATATCCAAGCCATCACTTTGGCAAGGGGGAAGGGAAGATGCACAAGCAAGCCCTTCAGTTTTAACAAAATCATTACTGGGACAGAATAGCCCTGCTTTGCCATGTAAGTGCTCAACTGCAGCTGGCCAAAGGACACAGCAAAATCATTTTAAAACTATGTGAACTAAATTCTCCAAGATCACTAATTAAGATTCAATCAAATTTCTCCAAAGACTGAGTAATACGTTGGTTATGACCCATTACCTCCTCCATCTAACTGGTATGTTGGTTTAGTAGCCACAATCATAACCATTAAATGCAAAACAAAAAATAAATAAATAAAGTAAGGAGAACAAAAACAACTTTGGCCATATTTTCTGGCAGGGTGAAAAGTACACTGTAGCATTTTGTACTGACACTGTTAGCTGGTTAGATATCAGCCAAGCATGAGTAGTTGAGCCCTCAAATTGATCCCCTCAATTATTTCTTTATAATCAGCATTCTGAATAGTGGAAGATTAAGCTCAAGAACACTTTCGATCACAGAGTTGTTTCTATGTACTGGTCCCTTGGCACAGTTACCAATGCCAGTGAAGCAGAAACTCATTTAAGACCTTTCCTGTACAAAACCACTGTTTACAAGTTCTTTAATGGGGCAAGAAATTAATATGCATGTTAGAAATGAACTCACTTCCTCCACTACTCAGGGAAAGAAACTAAATAAAAAGCTTCTTAACTAGCTGGAGCAGCAATACAGCCACCATGTTAGCTCAAAACAAACTATGTTACTTCAGCATTCCCTCCTGCCATTGCTGCGGAACCACATCAGTTCTATACAGCCACAACTAGACTTGGATTTCAGAAAGAAAAGAAACAATTTAAAGAAGTTAAAAATTGTGTTAAGCTAATTCATCAGCTTAGGTTCTCAACAGCTAATTTCAAGACCTTTCTTCTAGAATGAGTTAATTTAATATGAACGAAAAAAAACCACGCAAGCCACATCTCTCTGACCCCTTCATTTAAATGATGTGGAAGTGCCAATGCAAATCACAAGCAAATATACTCATTGAAACAGTCATGCTGCACTACCATACACACTCGAAGATGGTGCTATAAGACATCCCATTTTATTGTTCTCATCCCCATGGTACATTTCAAAGCTCTTCCTGCTGTACTGATGGTTCTCCTCAGGCCTTTTCTGTCAGAAAATATTCTTCTTTCTTAGTTTTTATAGTCCCATAAGTCTAAAGCAAAACTTAATGCTCAGAACTCCACTATTAGACACAAAAATAATTACTGCATCCAGCCATTTAGTTTTTATTATCTGCAGTAAGAAAAACTAATAAAAATCAGCCATATAGTACTTCACAGACAAATAAATAGAGCAAAGAACTCTGAAATATTAATTCCATGCAGACTGTAAAGAACCTGTGCTTTCTATACTTTAGACTTATAAAAGGAGAAACTTATAAACTAAAAAAATTCTTTTTACTACTCTCCACCAAAAAGCACCAGTTTTTTAACAGCCTGTACGTCCCTAAACAACATAAATATACTGTTTCGGTTTTCTTTAAATCTAGGCATTCAACTTACTTTTTATAAGTACATACACCCAAAAGCACCTTCATATAACTGGTATGTTGGTTTAGTAGCCACTATCATAATCATTATATGCAAAAAAAAAAAAGTAAATAAAGTAAGGAGAACAAAAACAACTTTGGCCATATTTTCTATGCCTGAGAACATCCAAAGAAGTCTGCTAAGCTTAAAAGCACTCAAAACCACAGCACCCTAAATAAATCCACAGCACAAAAAAAGTTAATTGGCACACGCCCACGTAAGTACTAGCAAAACTTAAAAATTCTAGTTCAGAAAAAAGCATTTCAAAGAAGTCAAAAAACAAAACAAAAAATAAAAGACAAAGCATAAAAACCTCAAAACACCCCAAACACCTCACCTTGATAAAAGCCAAACCCAAGAGAAGCTCCCTGTTTGGAAGCTGTGCCTTATATATCCCAGGCCCTACCCACAGCCCCTCCCTCAATGCCCTGGCTCAGGGGTGGGGCCAATCACTACCTGAGATAAAAGCAGCCTGACAAGGGACAGCTGGGTTGGTTTTGGTTGGAGTTTGCTTTGTTGGTTTGTCTCTGGCTTTTAAGTTTTTGGGGGTTTTTTTTATGCTTTAGGTTTACTTTCAAAGCTCACAGACTACATAGCTTCAATTTTATGAAGTCAGGTTGAGAGTTACACACAGAAAACTCTCAAAAAGCTTAGATATTAATGAATTTTCTGCTTCCTTTCAGACAACGCCTGGCCTTTACCAACTGCCTTGTGTCCTAACTGGTTGTGTCTTGACATCCTCTTTTCCACAGCTTCCATCATGGACCTCTGTGCCATCTGACTTGACCACTATATTGCAATTAAAAAGCCAGTCCTGGCTAGTCAGTACAATTCATGGGCTACAACAATCATCAAAATGACCGTGGTTTGGCTCATTTCAATAGGTGAGACTCTGAACTGGAAAAGGAACGCAGAAACTTTTCACATCCAAAACAATGGGTGACTGCTGGTCAAAATGGAAACTCTGGCCAAGTACTACTGATTAGCAGACCCTAACATCTGGGCTGGCCTAAGTCCACCTCTTAGCTCATACATAGCTACACCACAAGAATTGGCCTCAAGCACCGCTCCTGATCAGGCTTAACCTACTCGATCATACTTTTTCTTAATGGTCTTCCAAGTCCAAAACTCAGAAGACAATAACTGCATGCATAGTATGCCTTCCAGGAAAGCATGAGTTTATGCTCCTGTGGTAGTATATTCTGTTCCACACACAGTTTAAAGACTTGAATAGATGCTGCTAAAATCTGTACTTCACAATTTCCCCATGAAGCAAGTAAAAAAAGGTTTATTACTTATATCAAAGACTGAAAGATCAATGAATGGCTGGGAAAACTCACATTGAAAACTGAGATGCACTGGCAATACAGCATATAGAAAGGCTAACTTCTAAGCAAAAAAAAAAAAAAAACACTCAACCAAAACCAAACACCCTGAAGAGTGTAAAGGAAGCCAATGAATAAACCTTTAAATTAGCACCTCTGTGATGTGCACCTGCCTTTAAGGATTGAAAATAAAGAAAAAAAAAATCTGTTAAATGAGCTAAGGAGGTGAAACATATAATTCAGATAAACTAAGGTACACTGCAAGCAGCCATAGGCAGAGTGTCGTATGCTCTGTGTGCAAGAATAAGAAAAAAATTATTGTGTGCTACTAAGGCAAATGATTCATGGTAGAATGGCTGGTTCTTTCTGGCCTGGTTCTTCAGCTGTGGGAGTAGAGGGTTAGGGTTAGGGTAAGGTTTAGGGTTAGGGGACAGGGTTATGGTTTAGGTTTACGAGTTAGGGTAATGGTTATTGTCAAGGAAAGGGTTCAGATGTGTTAAGATTAGGTTTAGGGTTAAGTATTAGGGTAAGGGTTATGGGTATGGTTAGGATGGATTATAGTTAGGGTAAGGGTTAGATTTATTATAATGCTTAGGGTTAGGATGGTTTGGGGTTAAGGTTAAGGTGGGTTGCCCTTAGGATTAGAATTATGGTTAGGATTTGAGTTTAGTTTTAGGGTTAGTTTTAGGCTTAGGGGTTATTTTTAGGGTGGCACACATTAGGGGTAAGGATTAGGGTCACAGTTAAGGTTAGGCCTGGTTTAGCCTAGCCTGGGTTAAATTAGCCTGACCTGAGTTAGATTAGCCTAAAATACCCTAGCTCTGCCTGGATTAGATTAGTGTAGCCTAGGCTGCCTATGCATGGGTTAGATTAGATTAGCCTAGCCTAGCTCTGCCTGGGTTACATTGGATTTGCCTAGCACAGCCAATTCTGGCTTAGATTAGCCTAGCTCTGCCTACCTTAGATTAGATTAGCTCAGCCTTGGTTAGATTACCCTACACTAGCTCTGCCTGCGTTAGATTAAATTCCCCTAACTGAACCTGGTTTAGATTAGCCTAGCAGAACCTTGATTACACGATACTAACTTGGCTTAGTATAGCCTAGGCTGGGCTGGATTAGCCTAGCTCTGCCTGGGTTGGATTAGATTAGCCTAGCCTAGCCTGTGTTAGATAAGACTAGCCTAGCCTAGCTCTTCTTGTTTTAGAATATATTAGCCTAGCCTGGTATAGATTAGCCTAGTTTAGCCTAGCTCTAACTGGATTATATTAGATAAGCCTAGCTCTGCCTTGGTTACATTAGATTAGCCTAACCTGGGTTAGATAAGCGTAGCCTAGTTTAGCCTGGGTTAGATTAGATTAGCCTAGCCTAGCCTACGTTAGATTAGCCCAGCAATGCCTGGGTTAGAATGTCCTAGTTTTGCTTGGGTTAGATTAGATTAGCCTAGCCGAGCCAGGTTTAGATTAGGCTAGCATAGCTGGGTTATATTAACCTAGCTATGCCTAGGTTACATTACATAAACCTAGCCTAGCCTCTGTTAGACTACCCTGGGTTAGATTCGCCTTAGTCTGAATCAGTTAAGATTACCCAAGCCTAACCTGTGTTAGCCTAGCCTTGTTTCGATTAGTGTAGCTTAGCTCTAATTTAGATTAGATTTGACTAGCTCTGCCAGCCTTAGATTAGATTAGCCTATCCTAGCCTGTGTTAGCATACCCTGGGTTAAATTAGCCTAGCCTAGCTCTGCCAGGCTTAGATTAGATTAGCCTAGCATGGCCTGCTTTAGCCTAGAATAGATTACATTATTTTAGGTCTGCCTAGGTTAGATTAGATTAGCCTACCCCAGCCTCTGATAGTCTAACCTGGGTTATATTAGTTTAGCCTAGCTCTGGGTTAGATTAGATTAGATTAGACTAGACTAGCCTAGCCTAGCCCGGGTTAGATTAGCCTAGGCTAGCCTAGCTCTGCCTGGGTTAAATTAGATTAGTGCAGCATAAAATGGGTTAAATTAGATTAGGGGTTAAATCTAACCCCTACCATAGATGACATTAGCCTAGCCAAGCCTGGTTAGATTAGCCTAGGCTAGCCGGTATTAGCCTAGACTGAGTCACATTAACGGAGCCTAGCCGGGTTAGATTAAGCCAGCTCTGCCTAGCTTAGATTAGATAAGACTAGCCGAGTCTGTATTAGCCTAACCTGGGTTAGATTATGCCGAGCCTAGCTCTGCCTGAGTTAGACAAGATTAACCTAACCTAGCCTGGTTTGGATTAGCCTAGCCGAGATCTGCCTGGGTTAGGGATAGCCTAACCTGGGTTAGATTAGCCTAGCATGGTCTGCTTTAGCCGAGCATAGATTACGTTAGCCTAGGTCTGCCTAGGTTAGATTAGATTAGCCTACCCGAGCCTCTGATACTCTAACCTGGGTTAGATTAGTCTATCCTAGCTCTGCCTGGATTAGAATAGATTAGCCTAGCCTGGGATAGATTAGCCTAGTTTAGCCTTGCTCTGACTGGATTATATTAGATAAGCCTAGCTCTGCCTCACTTAGATTAGATTAGCCTAACCGGACTTAGATTAGCCTAGCTGAGCTCTGTCTGGGTTAGATTAGATGAACCTAAACTAGCGTGGCTTGGCTTAGCCTAGCCTAACCTGTGTTAGCCTACCCTGGGTTAGCTTAGGGTAGGTCTGCCTGGGTTAGATTAGATTAGCCTTGCCCGACCCTGTTTTAGCCTAGCCTGGGTTATATTTGCCTAGTATAGCTCTGCCTGGCTTAAATGAGATTAGCCTAGCTCTGCCTGGGTTAGATTACATTAGCCTATCCTAGACTGTGTTAGCCTACCCACGGTTAGATTAGCCTAGCCTAGATCTGCCTGGCTAAGATTGGTTTAGGCTAGCCTTATCTGTTTTAGCCTAACCTGGGTTAGATTAGTCCAGCCTAGACTGCTTTAGCCTAGCCTATCTCTGCCTGGGTTAGATTAGTCTAGCCCATCCTCTGTTAGCCTAATCTGGGTTAGATTAGTCTAGCCTATCTCTGCCTGGGTTAGATTAGCCTAGCCCACCCTCTGTTAGCCTAATCTGGGTTAGATTAGTCTAGCCTAGCTCTGTCTGGGTTAGATTAGATTAGCTTTTCTTAGTCTGTGAGACACAAAATGTTTGTGCTCTCCTCACCCTGCTGCAGGGCAGCCGGGAGCAACCACCAAAGAGTTTGGATGCAAACAGACATTTAGGTGGGAAAGCGAGGAACAACAGCACTGGGGGTGGCACCGTAGCAAAGCTCGCTGTGTGCTAAAGATGCCAAGCACCAGCTTTCTGGCCTGGTTCTTCGGCTGTGGGAGTACAGGGTTAGGGTTAGGGTAAGGTTTAGGGTTAGGGGACAGGGTTATGGTTTAGGTTTACGAGTTAGGGTTAGGGTAAGTGTTAGGGTAATCGTTATTGTCAAGGAAAGGGTTCAGACCTGTTAAGTTTAGGTTTAGGTATTAGGGTAAGGGTTATGGGTATGGTTAGGATGGATTACAGTTAGGGTCAGCCATTAGGGTTAGTGTGGCAGCCAGTAGAGTTAATGGCTAGGGTTAAGAGTTAGGGTAAGGGTTAGATTTGTTATAATGCTTAGGGTTAGGATGGTTTGGGGTTAGGGTTAAAATGGGTTGCCTTTAGGATTAGAATTATGGTTAGGATTTGAGTTTAGGTTTAGGGTTAGTTTTAGGCTTAGGGGTTACTGTTAGGGTGGCACACATTAGGGGTCAGGATTAGGATCACAGTTAAGGTTAGGCCTGGTTGAGCCTAGCCTTGGTTAAATTAGCCTAGCCTGAGTTGGATTAGCCTAAGATACCTTAGCTCTGCCTGGATTAGATGAGATTAGCGTAGCCTAGGCTGGCTATGCATGGGTTAGATTAGATTAGCATAGCCTAGTTCTGCCTGGGTTACATTGGATTTGCCTAGCACAGCCAAGTCTGGGTTAGATTATTCTACCCTAGCTCTGCCTGGCTTAGATGAAATTAGCCTAAATGAACCTGGTTTAGATTAGCCTAGCAGAACCTTGATTACACGATACTAACTTGGGTTAGTATAGCCTAGGCTGGGCTGGATTAGCCTAGCTCTGCCTGGGTTGGATTAAATTAGCCTAGCCTAGCTTGGGTTAGATTAGATTAGCCTAGCCTGTGTTAGATAAGACTAGCCTAGCCTAGCTCTGCTTGGGTTAGAATATATTAACCTAGCCTGAGATAGATTAGCCTAGTTTAGCCTAGCTCTAACTGGATTATATTAGATAAGCCTAGCTCTGCCTTGGTTACATTAGATTAGGCTAACCTGGGTCAGATAAGCCTAGCCTAGTTTAGCCTGGGTTAGATTAGATTAGCCTAGCCTAGCCTAGCCTGCGTTAGATTAGCTCAGCAATGCCTGGGTTAGAATGTCCTAGTTTTGCTTGCGTTAGATTAGATTAGCCTAGCCGAGCCAGGTTTAGATTAGGCTAGCATAGCTGGGTTACATTAACCTAGCTATGCCTAGCTTAGATTACATAAACCTAGCCTAGCCTCTCTTAGACTACCCTGGGTTAGATTCGCCTCAGTCTGACTCGGTCAGATTAGCCTAGCCTAACCTGTGTTAGCCTAGCCTTGTTTCGATTAGTGTAGTTTAACTCTAACTCAGATTAGATTTGACTAGCTCTGCCAGCGTTAGGTTAGATTAGCCTATCCTAGCCTGTGTTAGCATAACCTGGGTTAAATTAGCCTAGCCTAGCTCTGCCAGGCTTACATTAGATTAGCCTAGCCTAGCCTGTTTTAACCTAACCTAACCTCCTGCGAAACTGACCCACCCCGCAAACCTTCTCCTTACCTGCCTGACTCACCTCAAGCACTCCTCCGCCTCCAAAGGTCGAGGGCAAGACCTGCAACACCAAACACAAATAGTAAACGCATTCAACACCTTCTTCTAAACTCTAAGCTACCACACGCATGCACAAACTTCTTACCTCTTCAAGCCCTCCTCCGTTGGTACCTTCAAATCTCCCGAAATACCTACGAAACCTGAAACACAAAGGGAAATAGACAAAGGCTGAGAAGTGGTTCGAAGGAACACTCTTACCTCAGCAAAGCCCAACTCCCTCACCTATCACTCTGCTATTCTTCCGCAGCCTTTGCATGGCTTCTTTTCTCTTCTTTCAGCACGTGCACCGCCTGCAAAACACAACGTTAAGACCTGGTTTTCATCTCACAAAAACTGTAAGACACTCCATCAGTTGCTGCTTCAGTCTGCTAAGCACAGCTCACCTAGTCCAAGACAGCTCCGGGCAAACGAGCTCGCTTTGCTCCTCGTTGCTCACCTCCAAATTCAAAACACACACAAAGTCATAAGCCCACCAGCAGAATAAACTGAAACTTCCTTCTGACACCACAAATTTACCCACCTGGTACCCTAACTCAGCTCAACCCTCCTACACCAGCCTCTCACATGGGGCTAACCATCTCGCCACCTGCAAGAATAACCTGGCTTTATTAACCGCAAAGCCAACCAAAAGCTTATTCTGCCTCTAAGTCACAGCCCAAGCTCACACCGACACTCAGGTTGACATGCATACACACAGACTGACGTTCAGACAGTCGCAACACAGCCCCTACTCCCTCTGCCTCAGACACTAACTCTAGATATACTATCACACCCACTCCCAAGAAGACTCTCTGGCCCTGACTCATTCATTACAAGCTTATTCTAAGAGCTCTTCTGTCCATTCACACAGCTCATCAAGAGTACACAGCTACACTGGCATTATAAAACTGCACCACATACCTTGCACAGTTCAACAATTCCAGGCGAGACAAAACCAGAGACACACAAACAAGTCACTATTAATTTCTTAACATGGCAAACTATAGAGATAGGAAAGGATACTTCTCATGCTTCCTTATCTTACCAAGCCCAAGGACCCTGGGAAGACCATCAGCAAACCAGCTCCGAGAATCATCATGGCAGTGCGAGGTGGCAGGCTCAGCCTTAGCGGGCGTCCCCGTGCAGGCAACCTTCACCTGCCTGGCATGAGCTTCTGCCTCCCTCACACAGCACGAGGCTCAGGCTTTCACACTCACAAAAACTGAACACTCATTGCAACACAGGGGGCCAGCCCACGTTGCAAGAAGCGCCCAACCAAATCTAAGAAGGTCTCCAAGGCTCAGGACTTTCCCAGGCACTTCGAAAGCAGAACTTTCTGGCTAGGAACCAAAGCTGGACACCGCATGAAGCAGCCAAAGCAAAACCCTCTGCGAGAGGCCCATGACAACAAACAGCACCTTTCCCACCCTTGTGTGTTTCACCACAGATCATTACCTATTCTCCCTGACACAGCACCCCAGACTTAAGCCCCACGAAGGGCACCTTTTCATCCTGGCATTTAACTCTGAGGCACTACCTACACTAAAACTGACCATTCCCCTCCCAGGCACCGCCAAGCGTGTTCTCAGACATTCTGGCTCAAATACTACATTGGAATGCTACAGCTCAAACCCCTTCTTGCCATTCTGTCATCGTCCCCCACCCCCTCGCCTCCTAAAGGACCCCCTCTACTTAGCGGGCATAGTGCCATGCGGCTCCAGGCAACCTCACTGCTCAGAATCTCCACGGCAGATGCCAGGGATGGTGCAGCCGTTGACAAGTTCCCTTCATCATCTGCCAGAAACAAACAAAAAGGGGGAACAGGCTGTGTTGGCCGTCATCTCCACCACCCCAGCCATCCCCAGCCCGGCCTGGTCCTTACCAACTCTCAGGCTCCTCCAAAGCTCCTCAATACTGGGCTCGCCTGCCACCAAAGCCCTTCCGCAGTCTCACCTGGGGCTCCTCCTCCCCTCCGTGCTCTAGGAGTGCAACAAAAGCCAAGGACCATCGCTCCTGCGAAACTGACCCACCCCGCAAACCTTCTCCTTACCTGCCTGACTCACCTCAAGCACTCCTCCGCCTCCAAAGGTCGAGGGCAAGACCTGCAACACCAAACACCCAATACTAAACGCATTCAACACCTTCTTCTCAACTCTAACCTGCCACATGCATGCACAAACTTCTTACCTCCTCTAAGCCCTCCTCCGCTGGTACCTTCAACACTCACGAGGTACCTGCGGCACCTGAAACACAAAGGGAAACAGACAAAGGCTGAGAGACGGTTCGAAGGAACACCCTTCCCTCAGCAAATCCCAACTCCCTCACCCATCACTCTGCTATTCTTCCGCAGCCTTTGCACATCTTCTTTTCTCTTCTTTGAGCACGTGCACCGCCTGCAAAACACAACGTTAAGACCTGGTTTTCATCTCACAAAAACTGTAAGACACTCCATCAGTTGCTGCTTCAGTCTGCTAAGCACAGCTCACCTAGTTCAAGACAGCTCCGGGCAAACGAGCTCGCTTTGCTCCTCCCTGCGCACCTCCAAATTCAAAACACACACAAAGTCATAAGCCCACCAGCACAATAAACTGAAACTTCCTTCTGAACACCACAAATTTACCCACCTGGTACCCTAACTCAGCTCAACCCTCCTACACCAGCCTCTCACATGGCGCTAACCATCTCTCCACCTGCCAGAATAACCTGGCTTTATTAACCACCAAATTATTAAAATTAAATTCTTAATTAAAAATTTAAAATTAAAATTATTAATTAAAATTTAAAATTAAAAAATTATTGTGTGCTACTAAGGCAAATGATTCATGGTAGAATGGCTACATCCACCATTTTGGCCAAGGTATACATGCCTAAACCCAAAAAGCCTAACTGCAAAAAAAATTCAGGAAGAACAGGGATGATAGGAGAAAAGATGCTATCTTTACCATAAAAAAAAAACCCAACCAACCTAACAAGCAAACAAAACCCTGTTACCATGACAAGACACCTACAAATTGACCTTTTAATGCCTGGTTTGTTGTTAGTTGTCCGTGCTGTACTTTTGTCATTTCCTTTGTATCTGACAGAGGAGCATCCTGCAGCTGAGCCAGGGTTCTCCAAATCTGAGGTTAACTTGGCTCAATCCTCACTTTAATTCTTTGCTGTATCTGAAAGTGTGCCTCTTATTAAGAAAGGTATCAAATGGCTGAAGAGTTGGTTTTGCTCTTGCTGCCTTCAACCAACTTGAGTAAGCAGAGTACCAGAGGAATACAGTAAATGCCTACAACATCTCATTAAGCGGTATCAGGAAATATCACACAACAACTTTCACCGGGCAGTAAGGAAACTGCTGGTTTTGTTGCAATGTCAGACTGCTGGCAAACGAAGTGCTGACTGCAATTTAGTGATAATAAAAAATTCATTTAAAAGACAGGACTGATAAATTTCTTTATATTTTCTTATAGAGCGGTGAATCACAATACTAGCTGGTCTCATCTAAAAACTTTTAAATATGCAAGAGACTTTAAACAACAAATTCATCTTAAACACGACCTGCATAATTCTGGCAACTATTCAACTACTTGTATATATGAAAGAGTCAAGGCAGGGTGAAAAAAAAAAATCAGCTGTGTCCAGTAACTTGATGGGGTTAAGATAAGAAGCAAAGACTAGATACATGTATTTACCAAACTGCCATTCAAAAAGTGCAAAGGTTACCCCAGGGGAAGGGGGGTGGAAGCAGCTGGCATTAGGGAAACACATTTCACTAGAGGAAAAGCCATACTAACACCTACAGTCAAAACTATTCACGTTTTTTACACTTGAGAAGTTGGCAACTTTATACTGCTTCCTCGATCAGTAAAGGCTAGGCCCAATCTCCTTCGAAAAGGCACTCTTTTATAGCTGAGGTTGCCAAGTCTTTACTGTTTGCCCAACTACACACATAATGCTCTCAGTTCTCCGTCACCCTGAGTCAGCTCCAGAGCTCAGGAACTACCTTTCTTTAGAGACCCCAAGGCTTCAAGCCCAAAAAAGATTGCAAGCGATTACCATATGCTGAAGTACTTTGTTCTTCTCCTGCAGGAATTGCTATTCCAGTCCCTGTCAGAGGCACTGAAGATGGAAATGGCAACTCTACAAACATCACATGAGCCCCGATGCCCCATCGTTTTCATGACTACATTCTGTACAGATCAGTGGCTTCATTCTTCATTCCCCTCGTTATCATGATAGTCACTTATTTTCTTACAATCCAAGTGCTACACAAGAAGGTCTACTTGATAAACAAACCACCTCACCATTTCACTTGCTCAACAGTGTCCACAGTATTTCAGTGTGACACAACATCTGCGTCCTCGCCAGAAAAGGTGGCCATGCTAAACGGCTCCAGAAAAGACAAGATTTTGTCCAATGACATGCCAGTCTGCAGAGCATACACAACAGGGACAAAGTCCATGCAAACAATAACCAGTGAGCAAAGGGCATCAAAAGTTCTGGGGATAGTACTTTTTCTTTTCTTGTTGATGTGCTGCCCATTCTCCATAACAAACATAAGTTCAGTTCTGTGCAACTCCTGCAACCAAGAGATTTCTCAAAAGCTTACAGAGATATTTGTCTGGATAGGATATGTATCCTCAGGAGTGAACCCTCTCGTCTATACAGTAAACAACAAAACATTTAGGGACGCTTTCAGCAAGTATACCACTTGCAACTATCGGACCACAAGGCCTGTCAAGGCCCTTAAAAAACGCTCCAGCAGGATCTCTTTGAGAAGCTCTGCGATAGAAAATTCCAAGTTCTTTGTCATGCATGGGATGAGAAATGGGATTAACCCCATTAGATATCAGAGCCCAATGAGGCTGAGGAGCTCACCCATCCAAGCATCATCAGCCATTCTGCTGGATACATTGCTGCTCACAGAGAATTAAGTTGATAAAACAGAAGAACAAGTCAGATATGTATAGTGGAATGGCAGCTATGCCTATATCATAGTGTCACTGTATGTATTGTTCTAGGTAACACAAATGTACTGTAAGACTATATAAATACTGTTGTTTTCTGTTACTTATGCAAGCAACACCTTACAAATCAATATTAATTCCTCTCCTCCAAAGCCTCCCCTATTTTAACCCAACCCCATGGTGGCACTCACAGCTTCATTCCACGATAAATGACTAATGCAGAAATGTAGCCAACAGGAAAAGGGAAATAAATAAAAGCTAAACCAATCTGAATATCTGACTTCAGTTCTCACCGCACCCAGGCCCTTCAAAGTACATTTTCATAAGAAAATCGTCTCTGTACAAACACTAACATTTACTCTGGCAAGATGACAGAACATTCTGTAGGTTGATGCTTTATGATGAAATAAGCAAGGGGATACAAGCATGCTTGTTTTAATTCAAATCCACCTTTACTCTGTGTAAACAGAACAGCACATATACTCACTGCACTACCTCCTACAGACACCTTCATTTGCTGAGATTGTATATCCAAGTATGAGCTTTCTTTATTCTCTATGGATATGCGTACCAGAAGCAGAATCACTTGCTACCAAGACCAAAAGGTGTCCGTTCCACAACAGGTGAAACTGTTTCTTGGCAGGATGAGCAAAATTTCCATGTGCTGAAATTGTCCCTTTGTTGTTTTACTCTAAGAGTACATAGAATCTTGTACCCACCTGAATTTCATCTCCATTACTCTCGCATACAAATATGTCTGGTATTGTTAGATTAGTCAGATGTTCTTTTCACACTGAAAAAGTAACAGCATTTAACCAAAATAGGACAGTACCACATCAGTGATAATGAGTAAACCGGGACAGGCAGTGCCTGGAACTTCCCTTTAATTTAGATGGACAAACTTCCTTTTTTACTATCATTGGAACTTCAGCGAAAGCCTTCCCTTATCTTACGTAGTTCACACAAGGCAGAAAAATCACAGATAGAATAGCTATTGCACTTGAAAATAAGAGCAAGCGTTTCAGAGCCAGCAGAGACGGCAGTACTATCCGGACCGGCACACATTTGCAGTTTAGCTTAGCTCAGAATAATTTCACTGGAATAATGGCATAAGACTGTAGATCCCAATCTGCACCCTCTCAAACATGCTCAAGCCTTTCATCAGAGCATCAAATTCATACAAAGAGTTGCTCATCACAACCCATAAAAGTTACCAGAGTCTAGCATCTGTGAAATGAGGAGCTTCCGACAGTTCCAGAACACCTGCCTTTGGGAAGGGAAATCGGATTTCCCCAAAGTACCGGGGTTCTCACAATAAGCAGCCAGCCCAGCATTTTTTCCCAATAGCTCCCATTTACACTAACATTTTTAGCTGGGTCTTCTTTTTCATTCTTAGTGTTTTCAGAACCCTCTAGTTACAAACCAAAATTACGTCCAGAAAAAGGCTTAGTTTTTTTCCTCCTCAGAACAGAAAGTACAAAAGATAATATGACCTTCCAACATGTTTTTCCATATATTTAATTTAGAACATACGCACATCTGAAACGGAGCCTAATGTAAAAACGGCCATGGGAGTCCCAGAAGAAATTACTAAAAATACTTCTGTGTTACTTTAAGTTGCCTTCTTCCTACCCTTTTTGGCGATAGTCACTAGTCACTTTAAGTTGGAAAAAGCTCTAACTGCTCCTACTCCTCTTTTTGTTAAAATTTGTATAAGGGGACCCTGTAGTTAAAGCCAGAATTGATGGACTACTATACTTGTAAAAGATACCTATATCCAAAAATATTTGAGATCAAAAGCCTTATTAAGACCTAGACTACGTGAAGCTCAAGGGGTGAGGGAATAGGAATAAAATGAACCCCCCCCCAAAAATAAAGACTCTCAGTAATCAGTAGTTAGACTACACTAACAGGAAATGACACTTGAAAAAGTCTCGCTCAGCTAAAATATATTTTGTCAAGCCGGCATGTAGATTTCTCAGTTTTAGTAACCATATAAAGAAAAATGTTCCAGTTATTGAATACAGTCAGCAATAATAAACCTCAATCCAAAGGACTAGTGACGCATCAAAAATCCAGTCTTCCTACAAAGAAAGGAAATTTCTCCAAGGACAGAAAAACATGCACATTCCATTTAACATGACAAGTGTAAAAAGAAGTTGCTTGTTCACTGAGAAAGCAAATAAGTGAAGAATTCAGGTAACAGTTTTGGAAAGCATAAGGACAGAGGGAGAAGAAAAATGATGAGAAGATGCAGAACTATGAAATAAAAAGACTGTGACAGCAGAGATATTGTTTCAGCAACTTGATCTACAGGAACATATTTGAGCAAAGACGTTACCTTCATTAGCAAGACATGATTGAAAATAAGAGAGTCACTGCAAGCTGCTGTAAGAAAGCACAACTTTGTCGTACAGTAACTAAGGACAACACCGCTCTTGTGGTACTGACAAGCAAGATGGGAAGCTCAGGGCTACATCCACGGGCATCATCTTTAAGCAACACAAATTTATAAAGCATTCCTTTCTCTGAAGTAAGATGCTATCAATTCTTTCAGAACCTGGCCCACGACAAACCAATCACGTGGCCAGCTACGTGGCCTCAATGTACTACATGAAAATAATAACTTCTACAGTTACCTAGTTTAACTTCCCTCATTATCACAGAAGCTTTTATCTGGCATATTTCATCTCTGTTTCAACTACTACAAAAGCAAGACAAGAGGAAAAGCTGATCTGCAACATACCAGCACTGCAGAAAGAAATACATTTTAAAAGAGCAATGGGCAAAAATTAGGTTTTTTGTTCTTGTTGTTTCATTAATACATTAGGAGATACTTAGTTAATATTCTGGCTGCCTATCCAATTAAAAATTAAAGCACGGACATGGACGTAAGGACTACCTATAAATATACCCACCCGAGCAGCGTTGAAGAGAGGAAAACAATGGAGTCAGAAGCCTAACAGAATAAGCGCCTTGAAATGCAAATTAAGGGAATATCATAAAGAAAAAAACCCCACAAACAAACAAAAATAAAACACGCCTAAAAAACAAGCAAAACCAAACAAAATCCCAACCTTTAAACCACTCTGCAAAACAGAGAAGCAAAAAATTCAGCTAATCTCAACTGTGCTGATAGAAAACATTCTGTGGAGCCAGTCTAAAATCATCTGGGGGATTAAGCTGCAAGCCCCTTGGGTGGTATGGTTTAGTGTGACGTGTCCCTGCCCATAACAGGGGGGTTGGAACTAGATGATCTTAAGGTCCTTTCCAACCCTAACCATTCTATGATTCTAAGAAAATTTTCAGGCAGCCAGAGAAACGTATTAATCACTTATCTTGCATTCTCCAAATGTAAAACTTTGCTAATCACATCACATCCGGCCATACTCATAACAATTTCAGATGCATCAGAATACATTTAAAAACTCCAGTGTTAAGCAGAGGACAAGGCACTGAGAAGAGAGACTAATGCTATAAAGCTGTTCACTAGCATACAAGAAGCATGATGATGTTTTTATGCTGCTTCATAGAAAATGTAATTTTCCTACACCATTTGCTTACTGCGGAAAAACCCACAGCGCTTCAGGCTGCTATGAGAAAGCCAAAGGATAATCCCCTAATTTTTTTTCTAGGCTGTCATACGTAACTTCAGCCTTGAAAGGTAAAGTAATGCAAGCACAGTAAACCTGGTGAAAGCATACTGAACAACCTGGTACTCTGGAGCTAAAAGAGACAGGACATTCACCAGAACTCCTCTGGCTCTTAGCATTGGAAGCTGGAGGTAGGAGTCCCAGAGTTCTGGACACTTTTCAGCACTGACTTAATACTACCATGAACATTAGATTTCTTGCATGGCATTGATAAAAATGCCTATGTACAACTCATTTTCAAATTCATTAACCACTGCACAACAAAGAAGTCTTGTATTCTGCAAGATGCACAGCAATATCTCTTCATAAAACCCAACAGAAGTCTTTGCCATGAAAAACAAAAAATAAATCATCAACTTACTTTAATGGCTCAAAGAACCTCAGAATTTATGACTTCACTTGAAACTACAGCTGCTGAACAGTAGTTATAAGCAAATTCAAGGCTTTGGTCAGACAACCAAATCAGTTATAAATTGCACTGCTTAAAATGTTTACTTACTCAGCTAAAAAGCTTTAGAGTGTATAATCTGGGAATCTGAAAGTATTTTTCTGGAATGAGAGGTGGGGAGGAATATTAGATTGGTTTCTTTCACTCTTCTCATGCGTGCTGTGATTTAGTGATACGAAAATCTTTATATATAAACTTATAGGCACTACAGGTAGTGCTTATAAGCCTATTGTTTTTACAATGTAAGGACAAAGCAACTAATCGAAGGAATACTCTGGAGATTTCAGCAGGTTTCTCCAGCCCAGCTTGCACCTATCTCAGATTGAAACCCAATCATGTTGCTTATCAGTGTACACATTCTACTTTACAGTAGGAAGTTAAAACCCTTGCAGAGATTTTAAAACGCCCTCAAGCAACGTAAGGCTCTGAGCTCTATTTCCTGAAGTAGAATCTCATGAATACAAACTCGTCCAGAACAACGATAAAAAAATGGCAAGGAAGAATTAATGCAAGATGTCATCGTGTACCAATGGCACAAATGCATTCATTGTTTCAATCTGATAGTACAGCTACAATTTTCATTAGAATTTAGATTAGTTTTGCCAGAGATGCCAAGAGAATTCTCCGGTGCACAACAGTTTGGTCAGTGAAGATGCACAGCTGTTTCCAGTTTCAAACCTACAGAGATAAAAGCACTTTCAAATCTAAAAATACTTATGTGAAAGTCTGAAGCTTCTTCTGGTTTAGGAAGATGTCTGTTACTATTAACCTTTCACTGAAAGGGACCCTCATCCTCCTCCCCCAGGAGGACAGAAGACGACAAAAACGGGTTGGAGGTAAAAAAACCCTTTCACCTTTCCCCATGCAAAAATCAACAAGCAGGTATGTTTCATTAAATTCCTCTTCTTCACAGTTAATGAACTGAAAAAGTGACTGGCACAGATCATATTAG